AATAAGAAAACACAATTGCATTATCTTATTTCAAGGCTAAAAATACTGATTCCATTGGCAAACTATCTCATTTACCTACTCAAATTAAGGGTAAATACACTTAATTTAAGACATTTTTACTTATTTCTTGATCGTTTTTACAGTGCAAGACCTCATGCAACCAAGTTAGGGAACAAATTAGACTATAAATATCTTTGTTTTAATCTTTAGAGTTTCTTGCCTCATCTGACGGAAACTCCTGGTTGAAGATTAACAGCACAGCTTTTTATTCTCACTTCATCAGTTTCTTCAAAGTTATACTATTGTTTACTCAAAGGAAGGACAAACTGCTTCTGTTTATTCAAGCATATCTGCTCTCCAAAAACTACACTTCATACCTGAAAACACAGTTAAATCATTGGTTAAGAAAACTTACCGACAAAGAGGATCCTCGGGACGTACTGTCCATCAGGAGACAGATGCTTGTCTGTGGTTTCATACTGGAGGAGAGGAAGAAATGACATCTGAGAGCTTCAGCTTTTCCAGGGTGGCCATGTTTGAGCAGTGAGACAACCTACCATTAGATTGAGAACGATGAAATCCTCATCCAGGGTTTTCTGGATCTCGTTGTTTTCGGAGAAGACCTTTTTCAGGGCTGCAACAGGACGGGTTTCATTGAACAAAGCAGGAAGTGGAAGGAATGTTTTTCTCCTCGGCTCGGAGGAAACGCTTACCTTGGCTGTGTGGACAGTCCTCCAGGTGAAACAGGACCATCAGCGGCTTGTTCCTGAAAGGTTGGAACATTTGGTTGATTTCTGCAGCTCTGTGCTCTGAAAAGCTGATGAAGTGTTTCTTACCTTGACCTGGACCAGTAGAGAGCCTCTTCATACGTCTGCGCCCAGATAAGCTGGTCACCCCATCCTGGAAACACGGGGCAGGGTTAGAATGTGTCAGAGTTCAGCGTTCGTCGCCTGAAGGATACGCACCTCTGGACAGGGTCTGTGGGACCCTCTTGCCGGTCTTTGGGATGTATTTGGCAATGGTGGAGGAAACGACCACCAGCATCAACACAACAGAAAGTACAGCCTTCACCATCTTTAGGGACTAAGCTGAGCGTACAGAGAGACAAAAACAATCAGACATTTTTTTAAATCAAATCTTAAAGCCTGGAAATATCATCTTTTACTCATAAATAAATTGTAATTCCCTCCTTATGAACATTTTTAACTAAACGGTAGAAAAGCAGGAAGGAAAACCTCCGGCTCTCCTCCAGCAGAACGTTGTTGTGCCGTTGCCATAGTTATGAAGACTCACCGACCCCATCATGGTGTACAGTTCAAAACAATTTCATCTTTACCTCCTTTATTTTTTACTTGAATCAGCATTTCTAGGCTTATCTATAAACTATTTCTATAGACGCAGCTTTACTGACCTTCAAACATCTATTTGAATAAAGTTTAGCTGGTTAATCTGAACAGGGAGAAAATGTTTAAAGCTCTTTCCTTCAGTTGAAAATCGTCCATAAAGGCTTACCCTCCTGAGTTGTGACCGGTCTGATGGAAGCTCACGGATCTCCTGCATGCTACAGCTCACCTGTTCCCTTTTTAAGCACCTGTTCCCTGAGGATCCGCCCCTCTTCCTTCTCATTGCTCCCTTTCTTCCCTTTTCTCACCTGGAATTTACGGGAATTACTGAACCTTGTTGGAAAAGTTGCTGCACTGCAAAAACCTTCTGAAAATGAGTAAAAATGTCTTAAAATAAGTGTATTTCCCCTTAATTTTAAAAAGAAAAAATAAGATTATCTGTCAAAGGAATGAGCTTTTTATCAGAAAAATAAGATAATCATATATTATGCACTTCACTGCAAAAACTACCTAGAAATAAATCAACATTTCTTAAATTAAGTATATTTAGCCTTAATTTGAGCAGGTAAATAAGCTTATTTACCAATAGCATGAATATTCTTACCCTTAAAATATAATAATTAGATAATATGTACTATAAGACTATACTAGAGTATAGTCTTATAGTCTTATAGACAATTGCATTGTCTTATTAGAATAAGACAATGCAATTGTTTTTTTCTTTCTAGTTTTAAAT